TAGAACTGGTCCCTAGTGGAGGGCATGCAGGAGGCAGTCAATCGATGTTCTCTCTCATCGATGTTTTAATCTCTTTCCCTCTCCCTTCCTCTCTCTCTAAAATCAATGAAAAAAAACAGACAAAAGAGATGTTGGTTTATGGTTTTCTTTTCTTGTGAAGTCTTTGCCTGGCTTTTGCCTTATAGAATGGGAAAGTATTCTACCCTCTTCTATTTTGGGGAAGAATTTGTGAAGGATTGGTGCTTTCTTACCCAAGTATTTGGTAGAATCACAAGTGAAGCCATTTGGTTCTGGGCTTTCCTTCATGAAACTTTGCTTCTCAAAATAAATTGGGAAATTTCAACTCTAATTCCTTTAATCCACCAGAAATTTAAAAAAGAGCATCAGAAATCCCAGGGAAGGGATTATTTCTTTGTCTCTTAATCAGATTGAGGAAATTCCTTTTTATTTTTGGTTGTGTTTCTATCATAAAAGGGTTTTTGCCTTTTGACAAATTCTGTGTCCACTGAGATGATCATGTGTTCTTTCTGCATCTGTTTTCATAAGAGATATTGGTCTATGGTTTTCTTTTCTTGTATACTTTGGTTTTGGCATCAGAGATTCATAGAATGAACTGGGAAATGTTTTTTTCTATTTGTTTGGAAGAGTTTAATGAAGGATTGGTGTTAATTCTTCTGTAAGTATTTAGCAGAATTCACCAGTGAAGCCATTTGGTTCTAGGCTTTTTTGTAAGGGTCTTAATCTCTCTTTTCAAAAAAATTTTTCTTTATTGGTATTTAGAGAGAGAGGAAGAAAGAGGAAGAGATAGACACATCAATGAGAGAGAGCATCAACTGGCTGTCTCCTGCATGCCCCCCACTGGGGATCAGGTCCACAACCTGGGCATGTGCCCTGACTGGGAATCAAAGCAGCGACCTCTTTGGGCTTGGGTCGACACTCGACCACTGAGCCACACTGGCTGGGCTAAACCAGTTTACTTTTACTACTACTTTTTGTACCTTCTGTTTTTACTACATGTACGTCTAGTCAAAAAACAAAGCACTTAAAGGGGGGGAAAGTACATAAAATTCAAAGTGGTCTTTATTGTACATTTTCATTCATTTAAAAATAGATCCATATTGCCTTTATAGTTTTGAATTTTGTTTTTCACTGACTTAAACATTAGAATTGATTTTTCCATAGCACATTTTTGTTGCTATAAACTACATAGGTTTATATTATGAATACTCAAAATATATTGCTGAGGACTGTCTAAATTTTTTTTTAATGTTTTTATTGATTTTTTAGAGGGAGGGGAAGGGAGAGATAGAAACATCAATGTGAGAGACCAACATCAATCAGCTGCCTCCTGCACACCCTCAACCAGGGATCAAGCCTGAAACCTGGGTATGTGCCATCACTGAGAATCAAACCAGGACCTCTCAGTTCATGGGACAATGCTCAATCCACTGAGCCACACCAGCTAGGTGTGTCTAAATTCGTAGAAAAAAAAATCTCCAAATAATTTTCACAGCTAACAGTTAAGCTTAATTTAAAAGTACAGCGCTGGCCGGTTTGGTTCAGCAGTTAGAACGTCGGCCTGCGGTCTGGAGAGACCTGGGTTTGGTTCCTGCTAAGGGCACGTACCTCGGTTGCAGTTTGTCCCTGGTCCAGTTGGGGTCATGTGGGTGGTAACTAGTTGATCTGTCTCTCTAACATGGAGGTTTCTCTCTCCCTCTCGCTCTATCTGAAGATAAGGGCAAAAAATAAAATAAGCCCTGGCCACTTTGGCTTAGCAGTCAGAGCGTCAGCCTGTGGTCCCAAGAGACCTGGGTTCGGTCCCCGCTAAGAGCATGTACTTCAGTTGCAGTTTGTTCCCGGCCCTGGTTGGGTCGTGCAAGTGGCAGCCACTCGATGAGTCCCTTTCATGTCGATGTTTCTCTCACTCTCTCTCTTTCCTTTCCACTCTATCTGAACAAAAAATACATAAATAAATAAAAGTACATACGTTGTGACCTGGCTGGTATGGCTCAGTTGGCTGGAGCATCGTCCTGTACACTGAGAGGTCTTGAGTTTGATTCTCTGTCAGGGCACATACCTAGGTTGTGGGTTCAGTTTCCAGTTGGGGTACATATGAGAGGCAACCATGTCTCTCTCTCTCCCTTCCTGTCTCTACAACCAATAAACATATCCTTGGGTAAGGATTAAAAAAAAAACAAAACACATATGTCACAAAGCATTTAACCAGCACCTTTCTGATGAAGTTCTACAGTAAACTATACAGATTAAACTATGTTCGTGCACTTAATTATTTCCTAGTTGTTGTTGTAAGCCACCAATTCTATTTGCACAGTTCATCACACTATTCAAAGTAGTGCACCATCATATTTGTCCCTTCCAATAGCCTCCTAGGTAAGGTATACAGGAGACTTCTCATTTCCATTTTATTTTACTTTTTTATCCTCAACTGAGGAAATTTTTTTTTTTCATTTATCTTCAGATAGAATGGTAGGGGGAGAGGAAGAGAGAGAGAAATATCGATGTGAGAGACACATCGAGTGGCTGCCATCCACATGACCCCAACTGGGGCGGGGGACAAACTGCAACCGAGGTAGTGCCCTTAGCAGGAACCAAACCTGGGACTCTCTTATCAGTGGGCTGCCCTCTAACCCTGAGCCAAACCGGCCAGGGCCCTCATTTCCATTTTAAAGATGTGTAAATCAAGGTGGTTCATATGCTAGCTACCCATACTCAGCCTGAAGTTCAAGCATCTTGAGCCTGCATTGATGCTTACCAATTATCACTTCATCCCCTTAAGCTATTTGCTGGCCAAAGTGAACTCTGTAACTAAAAGGATGCAATAGCCTGATTGCCAAAACTGCAGCAAAGACTTGTGTCAAAACGTTTACCCCTCATGGTCCTTGCAAGATAATGTGCTAGTTGAAACTGCTGAGTTAAGATAGTATGGTGTGGAGAGATGCTGATACCCACTTTCAGATAGGTCAAAAAATCTATTTGTTGTAGAACACATTCCCTCTAATACAGTTCACCCTAGAGTTCTCATGATCCAGTCATCTGGCTTGTTTGCTTCTGTACCCTGTCTACCCTGTCTGGTGAACAGGAGAACTTCTACACAGTTCTTTATCTCTGCTCTAAGTATAATTATAGCAAATGTACAACGTAGCAGTGATTGTATTCATGATCCTCAAACATGCTGAAAATAAGACTAAGATACAGAATTATATTCAAGATCAATATAATTTTCTTTTCAAAGAAAAAGCAGCCCTGGCCGGTTTTGCACAGCGGTTAGAGCGTTGGCCTGCAGTCCAGAGAGACCTGGGTTCGGTTCCCACTAAGGGTGCGTACCTTGGATGCAGTTTGTCCCCAGCCCTGGTTGTTCGTGCGGGTGGCAGCCACTCAATGTGTCCCTTTCACGTTGATGTTTCTCTCTCTCTTCCTCTCTCTCCCTCCCACTCTATCTGAATAAAAAATGTAAAAATGTCCTCGGGTGAGGATAAAACAAACAAACAAAACTAAAAACTCCTTACTAAAAAATGTAACTGTCTTGGCCAATGTGGCTCAGTGGACCAAAGGGTCATGGGTTCAATTCCCAGTCCACAGCACGTACCTGGGTTATAGGTTTGATCCCAGGCCCCAGTCTAAGTGCACGCAGGAGGCAATCGACTGATATGTCTTTCTCATATGGATGCTCCTCTTTCTCGCGCGCTCTCTCTCTCTAATTCCTCCCTTCCATTCTCTCTTAAAAAAAAAAAAAAGGAAAAAATATCCTCGGGTAAGGATTAACACACACACACACACACACACACACACAATCAAGCAAAATGTTCTATTTCCTACATTATACATAAAGGGACTTAGCTGTGGTTCACCTTTGTCCTCCCAACCTTTTAATATTCAGCTCAGTTGAACTTCCCCAACCAGCTTACACTTGTGTCATGCCAGCAGTTAATCCACTAGGTTCTGGGAAACAGGACCTAACCAACTCAAGGAGTAGGATGTCAGACCAACAGCATTCAGACTATAATTTATTGCAATCATTACTTATTGCACAATTAATGTACATCAGACTTTATACACTATTTAATTCTAACTCCATCAAGTATTATTATACCCATTATGTGGGGAGAAATGAGGAACAAAAGGTTAAGTAAATTGCCCAAGTTCACACGCAAAAAATGGCCCATGAAGGACTTCAAGCAGGGCCTTAACCTTAACCAAAAGGTAATCTTAATACCAAAACTGCCTGGCCCTCAACTACAATCCTAACGTGAAATTAATCGCATGACCTTGGGCCAGTCATTTCATACCTCTGGGCCTGTTCCTCAGCTGTAAAACGACCTGCCCACAGTGAGCTTTTGAATGCTCTCCTGCTTTTAATGTCTGGTGAATTTCCGACTGGATTACTCCGCACCGAATCAAATATTAAGACCGACGTTTTTCAATCACTGCCTGTTCTAGCACATTCTCCATAATCTTCAGGGTGCTAGGTTCCAGTCTTTGCTTTACGATGCTATTTTCTTCTTTTCTTTTTTGTTTTTGGTACGTGCTTCTAGCGGGAACCGAACACGGGACTCTCTGGTCCGCAGGCCGACACTCCAACCGCTGAGCCAAACCGGCCAGGGCCGATGCTATTTTTCAAATACTGAACCTATAACACTTAACCCTAAACATTTTCTTGGTCTGACAACACCTCTCCCCGGTATTAGAGGTGGCGACTAGGCCCGACTCCACTCTAGACCTTTACCCGGTTACTCCAGCTTACCTCTGGGCTTCCCAAGCAGCCAGCAAAAGGCCTAAGAAAGCTCTAGAAGCAAAGCCACGGGTAGAAATTGGTTTTCCCTGAGGTCAAGAGAGGCCCTAGAGAACCTGCCACGCCTCCCGACCACAACGGCGCGACCAGAGCTTGGCTCTCCAACCCGCGAGCGGGCCGGAGCCTAAGCCCTGGAAACCCAACCTGACCCCGCGGCCCCGCCCGGCACCTCGGCGGCTACGATACGCACCCGGACCTCTGGGGTCTTCACAGGCCCGAGGGCACAAGCAGGCCTCCCGTCTCACCTCGAGCTTCCCAGGCGGCACCCGCGCCTCCTCCTGCCCGCACTACTGGCCCTGAGCTGCACTGGAGACAGCAGCAGAAGCAGGCCGACCGTCACGTGCCACACAACCAAAAGACCTAAGCTACTGCAGCGACCGCGCAAACCAGCGAGCTTGGCCTCACGAACTCCGCCCCTGCCTCCGCCCCTCCCTCCTGAGTAGCTACGGACAAAGCAAGGTACCGTCCCTCCGCGCCAACTCCAAAATGTGGTTGGTCAGTGTAGCCATCGCTCTAAACACCCTCCCATACGCCCCCTAGGGCTATTCTTCGTGGAGTGTGAGGATTGGCTGGGAGTGCGGCAGGAAATAGCTGTTGGTTGGATGAAAGGGGAGAGGGAGGGCCAGAGCGGATTGGGAATCGTGGACGCGCACCCAGAGTGGTTGCAGCTCTCGACCTCCGGTTATCCTGATTCCTTAATGGGCGGGCATCCCAACCCTTGTGGTCTAGACCCCTCGGTTTTTGGATCAAGTCCCCAGGACTTGCATCCTGTTCTCTTCGCTGAAAGGGCAAATGGCAGGCTGTAGAAGGAGTGGGAGGTCTGGCGTGCAATCTGGAAGGGCCAGTTCCCTTTGCAGCGTGTGTAAGGCCCCCATGGGGTTGGTGGTGGATCTAGTACTACCAGCTCACTCTGCCAGGCCTGGAGTCGCCTGCATAGCGCTGTGTAACCACGCGTCCTGCTGGGCCTAGCAGCCTGCAGCTGCCAGTAAACCTAGAGTTCAAAATACTACAATACACACACACACCTGTATACAGGTGATGTATTATAGAACTGTACCCTTGAAACCTATATAGTTTTATTAACCAATATCACTTCCAATAATTTCAATTTGTGGACCAAAAGGGGCCACTTGCTAATCTGACAAACTAAGGAAAGTCCTGCCTGGTGGCCTTGTAAACTCAAAGTCCTAAAAGTAAACACAAAGGATGGCCTGAAATTAAAACTTTTTGAAAGCGTTTATGGCAGATAGTCATGTCCTAAGCCTCTATCTTCCCTGACAAAGGTCAACTTTCACTTTGATGGAGCCTATTCTCTTCTTGCATCTATGATAACATACCTCTGGCACAGCAGAGTGACATCCCTTTTCCAGATCCCCTCTCAGGGCACAACCAATGCACCAGGGTGGAGACCACAACCCCCCCCTGGTGCATTGGCTGTGTTATAATGATCATGTTAAATTGACTGTTAACTATCCTGTACCTGCCTATGTAAAAGAAGCATGTGTCACCTGGCTGGTGTGGCTCAGTGGATTGAGCTTTGTCCCATGCACTGAGAGGTCACTGGTTTGATTCCAGGTCAGGGCACATGCCCAGGTTGTGGGCTCCATCCCCAGTATGGGGTGTGCAGGAGAAAGCTGATTGATGTTTGATGTTTCTCTCTCATCCATTTCTCTCTCTCTACCCCTCTCCCTTCTTATCTAAACAAAAAAAAATCAATAAAATATATTTTTTAAAATAAGACACGTGTCTATCATTTTACTTTTTATCCAATCCGAGTTTCTCCCCCAACTTTGTTTGCTTTCTCTTGCCTCCCTAATCTATCACCAATGGATTTCATGTAACCCATTTAGGTTTCCTGTTTTTATTTTTTATCTTTACTTTTTTATTTTTTATCCTCACCTGAGGACATTTTTCCTTTTTTGTTCTGGTAGAGTGGGAGGGAGAGACAGGAACAGAGAGAGAGAGAGAGAGAGAGAGAGAGAGAGAGAGAGAGAGAGAGAGAAACATCGATGTGAAAGGAACACATCGAGTGGCTGCCACCCGCACGACCAACCAGGGCCGAGGACAAACTGCAACCGAGGTACGTGCCCTTAGCGGGAACCGAACCCGGGCCTCTCGGGACCGCAGGTCGATGCTCTAACCGCTGAGCAAAACTGGCCAGGGCTGTTTCCTGTTTTTATTGTAATGTATAAAATAAAGTGCAAAACCTCCATTCCCTGGAGCATTATCTCAATCCCTTGAGGTTTTGCTTCCTGGCAGTTGTTGACAGTTTTGGCTCAAATAAACTCACAAAAATTCTTCACAGGTTTGAATGTTTCTTACATTGACAAATTTAAAAAAGAAAAAAATAGTACAATCCAAGATTTTTTCAACTTTCAATTTGTGAAGTATCCCGAAGTAAGATTAAACATAGGGTCACAGAAACACACTGATGACAGGATTGAGAGAAAAGAATGGTGCAATGGCAGAAAATTAAAAACACACCACTATCTTTAAACCCACTTTAGCACATCTTCAGTTTTCAATATGCTGAAAATCTCAGAAAATGGAAGAAGCCTAAGGTTTTCCTAGACCTTTATAGGTTCTGCTCTGTCTTCCTTTTTTTTTTTTGTATACCCAAAAGCTGAATCCTAGGATGGAAAAAACTAGAATCGGTAGATAGATTGCTTATCCCAGGACCAGCTTTATTTCTGAAAGACTAAAGTCGGTGTTGTGGTGCTTGAGCATGCTAAATAGCATCCTAGATGGTGAATAAAGAAAAATTGTATTTATTTAAAGAAAAGAGGATAGGGGATGGGGATATCCAGAGGGAAGGGCTACACATCTCAGTGTCATGGGGTATTGGGTCGATGATGGCAGCACCTAGGAATTGGAGTTTCGTCCTTATATGCATCCACTGGCGGGAAACTTTTGTCGTCAATGGGTTTTGGGGTCTTGTTTGGTGGGTTTGGGCAGGGGTTGTGTCTACAGGAATGCTGATGTGCAATCCGATGTTTCTTTGGCAGTTTTAGTTCTTTATATAGTTTGATTCCTGGTGTCAGGCATTTCTTGTCCGGCCAGTTCTCCTGTTCCTTATTTTCCTGTGGTGGGGAAGCTTACAACATGGCAATCAAGAATTATATTGCCACCCTGGCTGGTTTGGCTCAGCAATTAGAACATTGACTCTCGGACCAAAGAGTTGCGGGTTCGATTCCGGTCAAGGCATGTACCTCAGTTTCACTTCGTCCCTGGCCCTGATTGGGGTCGTGCAGGAGGCAACCAATTGATGTGTCTCTCTCACATCAATGTTTCTCTCTCTCTCTATTCCCTCCCTCCCACTCTGTCTGAAAATAAATAAAAAAATATATCCTTGGGTGAAAAAAAAAATTATATTGTCTTGTAAGTCTTCACATTTCCCCCCTCTTTCTATTTGTTAATAAGAATTCATATGGAATTGGAGTAGAAGTCTTTTTCTTTTGTAGCTGCTTCCTGCTGGTTTATGGATGTAGAATTGTCCCTAAGCTGTGTTATTATGTTGAGGACTTGGAAAATAAGGGTAGGGATAAGTTCTGGAGGCCATGGTCAGGGCTATTTGCCTGTAATAGTTCATATACTGTTTTGGAGAAAGGAAAAGAGAGCATGGATGGGCTTCCAAAGTGAGACCTTTATTGTGTAAACAATTAATCAGGTATTTAATAAGAAGTATGCCTATGAAAATAAGAAGGAAAAAAAAGGTTAATGATCACAGAAAATTATAAAACAGTTTCTGAATCTATAAGACTGTTAGTCAAGAAGGCTTAAAGTTTCTTCCGCTGGCATGAAAGCAAGCAGTGATAACTGGACAGCATCTGATACTTAGGTAAATTCTGTATGGTTGACATGTGTCAGTAGTTTTTTTTTTTTTTTTTTTAATCCTCACCCGAGGACATTTTTCCATTTTTTGTTTTAGGTACAGTGGAAGGGAGAGAGAGGAACAGAGAGAGAGAGAGAAACATCGATGTGAAAGGGACACATCGAGTGGCTGCCACCCGCACGACCGACCAGGGCCGGGGCAACCGAGGTACGCGCCCTTAGTGGGAACCGAACCCGGGTCTCTCAGGACTGCAGGCCGACGCTCTAACCGCTGAGCCAAACCGGCCTGGGCAGTTTTTAATAATTCAAAGTCAAAGGATGGGAGAAAAAAAATGAAACATTAGTTTAGATGGTTGAACACAACTAGAAGAATTCAGGAACCAGTTTAGTTCACAGATAAAATAACTTTGAAGGCAATCAACTGCACTAGAGTCCAATATTCACAATTGGGCATTATGATTTTCACTGAAACAATTTCTCTCCCTAAAATCACCCTCATTTTTATGAAGGAGATTGCATTAGGTCAGGTTTAATTTGGCCTTATTATTTGCCCCCAAATAATAAGAATTAGCAATTGATAAGCTTTCTCAAATTTGGCTGGAATGTCAGTTATTCATAAGGAATCTTTAGATTGAGCTCTATGGAGCAGTCAGCAGTCAGCCCCTCAGGGCAGAGAAGCTAAAGTCACAATTGCCATCAGGCTGTGCCTGGAATACCTACAGATTTGGGTCATGTCCTCAAATCCTTGAGGTTCCCAATGTGTTGAGGTTCCTTTTCTGCCATCTTTCAAGAAAACAAGTTTTGTTCCTTACCTGGAAAGATTGCCATGAGCCATTAACCAAGTAAAGTACCAGGCCATTTTCTGTAAGTGGCCTCTGATCAGCTTCCATGAGTCTTGAGAGTCAATCCCAATTGCTTAAGGCTTTTTGGTGACATCCAGAGTGCAGGCATGTCTCTTTTGAACACAATTTTCCAGTCAAAGACTCGGTTAATAAAACCACAATTGGAACCTGGTTTCATGTGCAAAGAGAAAAGATTCATACTGGATTTATGCAAATAAATATTGTCATGAAAATAATACTCACTGATTGAGAGTTGCCAAATTCTGGAGGGATTAGGTAGGGAGAAAAATGTAAATGCTTCAATATTGTTTGAGGATATAATTTACCAAATTGTTCTAAGAAAATAGAAACAAGCTTCCTTTTTTTTTTTTTTTTAAGGTACGTGCCCCTAGCGGGAACCAAACCCAGGACTCTTTGGTCCGCAGGCCAATGCTCCAACCACTGAGCCAAACCGGCCAGGGCACAAGCTTCCTTATATGTGGAAAACAAAAAGATTTTTCCATAAATCCAGTTATTTTATATTTCAAAGAAATGACCTACTTAGAATCTGTTATCTAGAGTAAGTCAGAGTCCTTTTCACAAACCTTTGCAAAGATGTAACATATTTGCAAAACAGTG